GATAAACTTGTGATACGAGACGGTGAGAAACATTAAAAACAAAACAAAAAAATCTGTCAAGTTTCCACCCTGACCCATATTTAGTGACATTCAGTGATGGTCATACTTGTTGGTGCCTTCATCCATTTTGCATGGAATGTCACAGATATTGTGGCCAATGAAGGCATTGAATACTTGGACTGGCTACCATTTTGGAAGAGCATGAGGAAACTATGAAACTGCCTGTAGCAAAATCACCCACACGCTATGCCAGGGACAGCATTCATTCCTAAGAGGAAACTCTGCCATTGGCGGAGGAAGGGAATAATTGTCTGAGTTTCTTGGTGGTGCTACTTTCTTATTGAAAGGCTTTGGAAATGAACTTTGATATTTTATACTGATGACTTTAAGATCCAAGCGTGGAAAGTATTTATAATTGCAATGTATTCAGTTCCCTTTGTCCACTGAATCCCTGGGTAAAGGGGGAGAATGAAAGGCTAATATTTTTTTGCATTTTTCTCTAAACACAGGTATGGTATTGCTTTGCATTGAGTGAGGGATATAGTAAATAATGCTAATATTCAACACACACAAAATTGCGCTTCACAATTTGCGTGGGACCGAGATAAATAGGGAGGCCATGTCCTCTGACCCGTGTTTTCGCACATTGTGGTCCCCAGGCCAGCCGCATCCACATCGCCTGGGAATGTGTTAGGATGTAAATTATCACCCCCAGCCCAGACCTACTAGACTAGAAACTCTCAGGATGGGTCCCAGATCTGTGATTTAAAAAGGCCTCCAGGCAGGGCCAAGATTAGAGCAGGATCAGGCAAAGTACAGACTAGGAATCTGTCTTGATTTAAAATTTTAGCATTTTATTGCTTTGACATTAAATTCAATTTTTAAAATATTGCTCTAAAATTTTATTTATCTTGATTTCTGAGGTCTTAGGCACTCCTTAGGTTTTTGCCCCTGATGTGAGGCGCTTTACTTGCCTGACTCTAGTCCCGGCCTCCAGGTGACTCTGGTGGTCTCTAATGTTTGAGGATCAGTCCTCTCCATCATAGATATTGCAACTTCAAATGCCTGCCTAGATGACAGGTAACATAACTAGTGAAGTGTCAAACTGGAGGACACAATTAAAGGGACAGCTGTTAGGAATGTGGGCTCAGTATCACAGACATTATATTTCAAGAGATGCGAGAAATAAAGAATTTTCTATGAATTGCCCAGTTGTTAAAATTTGGCAAGTAATGCGCCAGAACATTGTTTTGGAGCAAACAAACATGTGTTTGCTTTTGGCCCACAGGTTGCTATGGTGTAAGCTCTTGGTTCCGTTAGCCCCTCAACCCTAGACCGACAGGAAGTACAGTGAGAAAAATCAAATGGCAGAGGTGTTTATTTTCTGTGTGTGGAATCTGGACCCTAAGAAAAGACTCAAATCAATCTTACAGACATGCTGAGATGATAAACCATAACTTTCCCCCCCATTTTCCTATCAACAGTCAACTATCAGCATATTCCCCAGAGGAACTATCATCTTTCCTCACATCAGGGCATTCCTGTGGATATTAAAAATTTTAATTTATCATGCCATAAAATTTGTGTGTTTTTGCACACATATTCTGAGTGTTCAGAACCCCATAGAAACTTTTCAAATATCTTCAATAGGTAACTGCATTCATGGGTAAATCACTGTTATTTTTTTTTAAATCACTTTTATTGAGTTGCTTTTTGTTCCACCAATAACTTTTCTTAGAAGCCTCAAACCTAGCAAGCTGTCCTTTTCTTTTTCTGTGTGACCTTCCAATAGTCACTAAATGGCTCCAAGTCTGTTTTATTGACTGTGAAAGAGAGACAAGCATCTACCTCCTGGGGTTGTTGTGAGGATCAGGGAAAGGAATGAATGTATAATTCTCTATTTGGTAGATGGAGAATTTGGAATAGTTTAGATTTTACTTATCTTTGGTAGAGATATTTCTAAAAGGTATTATCATATGCTCTTCATAGAATGAAAGTGTTCTTGCTGAGATATAGAGCTACTTGAGAGAGCTCAGTAAATTAAAGTATATGCCAAAGCAATGACAAAATTCCAAATTGGTTGCATGACCTATCCATATAGATTCCTTTTCATTCTCTAACGATGTGAGTAGATGCCCAATAGGTTCATTCTTTCCTAATTTGCTTATTTACTCATTCAAGAAATAGTTATTGAGTGTCTACTCTGTATTAATTGGCGGGTATTGTTTTCATTTGCAGTGGTAATATATTTTTAGAATTAAATTTTAAAGCCTCACTTCAACTATTTGTTCATTGTCCACCTTTTTTTTTTTGCTTCCGAGTAGTAGAGTCATATGACATTCTGAAACAAATATCTGGAGCCATTTGGCCAGAAGCAATGACATATGGCCAGCCTTTACACCCTCTTGGCCCTAGGACGGCTGTGGACATTCCTGGGCCACCCCACAGAGGGCCCTGAGGCTTTCTTGGGAGAGCTGAATCTCTCTCCCACCTGCTTCTTAATTTTGCAGAGTTGTCATTTTGCAAAATTGAGTTTTCTCCAGACTATGCACTAACAAATTTTGAATAACAAACATTTCTACAAACAGGTTATATGAAACTACATTGGGCCTAAAAAAAGTTAAAAAAGGTAAGGAGGGAGGGAGGAAGGAGAAAGAAAAAGAAAAGAGAAAAAAATATATTAAAAAAATCAATAATCCTTTTATTCCTAGATCTGACTTTATGATCTCAAAAAAATCACTTAATAGCATAGTTTGGACATCTGGAGTTAATTGGCCAAAGTTTCAAATCCTTGTTGATTGCTATGTTCTATGCCCTTAGGCAAATTATGTATCCCTTTAAGACTGTTTCCTGTCTACAAAATGGGGATAATAGTAATATCTGATTAGTGGTGCTATTGTGAAGATAGAAGCAGGTATTACATGTAAAGCACTCAAAATGGTAACAGTAATTGCTCAATAAATGTCAGCGACTTGTAATTTTGGGGCCTCAACTTCCGCATCTCTAAAATGAGGATATTGGACTAGAGAGAGAATCACCAATTACTTCTAGTCCGAGTGCTTTACTGCTCTTTGATTTGTCCTTCTCTTTAAAGACTGGGTTCATCCCTGCTGCCCTCCATATGTTAAGATTGTGGAAAGTTCTAGAAATACTGCCGCATTTATTATGGATACTGGGAGATGGGCAAACCATCTTGTGGTTATTGGGTTATCTACCAAATCAGTTAGTTAATGATAAGTAATTATTTAGAGATAAGCATTGTTTCATCAGTCTGGGTGAAGTTTAGAAAAGAAATCAAAATCAGTAAACCCTCCCCAGTCTCACTGAGAGAATAAATAACATCATAACTTCAACATCTGGAGAGACAGATGAATAGAGAAAAAGTCAACAAAAACAATTTTGGGGGAAATATGTAGCAAAATAGCACATTGAAGATAAATGCAAAAGGAGTTAGAGATAAAATTCTGAATTGTAAAAAATACAAAAGTTTCCGGAGGTCAGAAACCCTCCAAAGACGGCCTTTTCAAGCATTTGTTGTATTTATAACCATGCTATTATATTTGTAATTACAGGAAATAATAACTTGTGTTCTAAAGTAGTTAATAATGAATGAGTTGTAAGTGGTGGTCAATGTCAAAAAGGATTCATTTTGCTGGTTGTGTGAAAGGGCAAATTTCCTCATGTCTCATATCCATTTTTTTCCCATTAGCTTGATATTCATTAATTCTCTGCCTTATGGAAAAAACATTGTGTTTTCCCCGCCAGGGGATCCAATCTGTTATAGTCTCCTTTGTTTCATTCCAGCTTTGACTGGCACAGTTGCTTTGACTGAAACTTATATCCAAGAGAAGCTAAAGGGAAAAGGGCCATGAAGTGACCCCGCCCTCCTTTGTGTCCCTAGAAGAGCACACTTGCTAAATCTATTTTTTCTCATTTTCCACACATGGACATAAGTGTGTCCTTTTAACAGCAAAAACAAGCGATCAACAACAAACAGATAAAGGGTAAAAACAAGAAAAACGCCTCTGCAACCAAAGGCACACACCTTGGCAAATGACCTTATAACATTAGGATAGGGTCTGAGGCTGAAAAGCCAACCTTTTTTCTGTGTTAGATACTTGACCTTCAACCATCAGAATAGTTGAGTCTGGTGTCTAATGCACACATCAGCCCTGGTCACACCCAACCCATGTACTCTGATTCTGAGTTACAAGTGCCAGGAAGAACTGCGGGCCAGTATTTAGAAAGACAGTGGGAACTGTCGAAGAAATCTTTATCAGAAAGGCTAAAGGAGCAGGCAGGCAGCGCCATTACAAACTCCAGCCAGAATGACGTAGCCCCTTGAGTGGCCGTGCCTTTGAGAATCCCCGTTATGTCCTGGGGATGGTGACGTTCTAAGAAAAATGTGTGAGCCGCTCTGGCTGGGTTGCAAACAGTAGTGGCAGAGATCCTGAAGACATCGTATTTTCACACTGATGTTTCTGTTCTTTGGTCCTAGGAGACAATGACATGGCCCAGCAGCTAGCAGTTCTCTGTGGCAGAGAGATCCCTGGACCCATCCGGTCTACTGGAGAGTACATGTTCATCCATTTCACCTCGGACTTCAGCATAACCAGGGCGGGCTTCAATGCATCCTTTCACACGAGTAATGTGTTCTATGAGTTTGTTTGAATTCATTTAGTCTCATCTCATTTCATCTCACCTATGTCTTTTGCTCTCTCCCTAATATACTCTGCTCATTTTTCCATGCCAGGATGCAAGTTTATTATAAGTCAGAGCACATGGGACTCTGCTCAGCCTGTGGGTGGCTATCCTTAGGTCAGTCTCTGAGTTCTAATCCAAAAAACCGTGGCCAAGTTGTCACGTAGCTGTCTGGGTGGGGTATCATCCTGCCTGTAGCTGTCTGGGTGGGGTATCATCCCTCACAGTGGTACAACAGTAAAATGTTTCAATTTTCCAGCCTAGCTGTGGGCTGGAACCAGGAGACAGCACAAAGCCATCATGCATCAAAGGAGCGATAAGTCAGCGTTATCATCAGTCTTAGAAATAACCCGTCAGAGTAATACGGAAGATATCTTCATAAATCCCTTGGTTGAAATAATTCATTTGAAGGGTGGCAGGAAGAGCTTTGTTGCTCTTGAAATATGAATTTGATGAGTTAGAGAATGTGCACAATGTATGGCAGGCTATCATGAGTAGTATGATTGAGACTTTCAAAACGACAAAATGTGAAGTCCAATAATAACTTTAAATCCAAATTAAACTTCAAAGAGTAGTCCATGGGATATGGACTATCAAAAGACTCTCCTGTTTTTCACTGAAAGGTGTAATTTTAAAGTAGATGATCAATCTAGACATGAAATATTAATAATTTCTCCACTGTGTTGTATGCCTTTTATAGAGCAGGGAGCAACCAAAGATAAATTGTCTTCTTCACTCTCAAGGGAGGCGGGCTGCATGGTGGTTTAAGAGAATGGGCTTTGGAATTAGACAGACCTAAGATAAACTTCCACCTCTGCAATTTGACTAGCTGTGTGAACGCTACGCCCACTCTGACGAGCTATTCAATCCCTGACAGCTGGCAAATTAATGGCTGCTCCGTCCATAATCTTTCCTCGGCTCCCAACCTCTCACTGTGTCTCATGTTTCTCACGTATGTATGTATGGCAGCTCGGGACGTATAAAGTTACCATGTGGAAAACTGAACTTTTGACTCCTGCCATTTTCCACTACTCGCCTCCAAACTTTCTCATGCCACATTCCTCCCAATTTTAGTAAGTGGGAAGTACGTTCTTCTTGTTATTTAAGCCAAAAGACTTGGCATCGTTCTTGATTCTTCTTTTCTCACTCCATAAATCCTAATCATCAACAAATGAAAATGGTTCTATCCTCATGATACATTTAGATTCCAACCACTTCTCACCATTTCTACCTTACCCTCCTAGTTCAGGCATCTGTCATTCTCTCTGATGGACTCAAGAAGTCACCCCTTTATTGGGTACCCTGCTTCTGCTTTTCCTTGTCCCCCCCCTTACAGTCTGTTGCAGACAGGGTGATTCTTTTAAAATTTAAGTCAGACCATACCATCCTGATGCTCAAAAGCCTTCAGTGTCTTCCTCTTATTATTAAAAATAAGTCCTTTTAGTTTTCTCCGTGACCTACCCTGCTGACTTTTGTCTCTCTCATTCTGCTTCATCCTATCTGACTTCCATGATGTACCACTAACGCATCAAGCTTTTCCACCAACTGTTGTCTGGCCTGGAATGCTCTTCTCTCACAGAAGCCTTATGGCTCAATCCCTCATTTCACTCAGGTTCTGCTCAGATGTTACCCAACAACGTGGCCTTTTCTAATTTCCCCAGACAATATCGTACCATTACCCCTCTCCTTGTTCATTTTACTTTGTAGAACCAATCACCATCTCATGTATTATATATGTGTGTTTATTGTACACATATGCCTTACTCATCTATAAAATAAGCTTTCTGAAAGTAAGTAATCTATCTCTATTGCTTACTTCTTTATCCCAGTCTTAGCAACAACAACAACAACAACAACAAAATGAGTCCTTAATAAATGCTTGTTGTTTGGCAACTTTGGCCAAACTTTGGCCAAGTTTGGAAACTAACTTTGGCCCCAGTTAGTTTCAAACCACTTTTCTCTTGCCTAACTTAGAAAATCCTCAAGAAAAATAGGAAAGCCTGAAAACCCAGTTAACCAATGTTACTTAAAGAGTTTCTTTAATTTTTTTCAACTAAAAAAATTAGTTTTCTTTGTTTCTTCTTGGGAAGGTTGTGGTGGCTATTTGCATGCAGACAGAGGGATTATCACATCACCCAACTACCCAGAGACCTACCCTCCCAACCTCAACTGCTCTTGGCACGTCCTGGTTCAGAGAGGCCTGACCATCGCTGTCCATTTTGAACAGCCCTTCCAGATTCCAAATAGCGACTCTTCCTGTAACCAGGGGGATTACTTGGCGGTAGGTCTTGTATGCTACTTTTTCTAATTATTTTCTCTGCAGACTTCATTCAGAAAAAAAAAATGATGATTTTTTTCTCCTGGGGCACAGATCGATAGAGCAATTATACTCCATCTGATCCATATGAAGGAATTGGTGCAATTCTAATTTGTGTTTACAGCTCAGAAACGGACCTGATATCTATTCTCCACCCTTGGGACCTCATGGAGGAAATGGTCGCTTCTGTGGCAGTCGTCCTTCATCCACTCTGTTCACCTCAGATAATCAAATGCTTGTTCAGTTTATTTCTGATAATAGTAATGGAGGGCAAGGATTTAAGATCACATATGAGGCAAAGAGTTTAGGTAAGTCTTTTCATTGAGAATAATGTCTGTAGTTTTCCTGCTATTGCTTGGATTAAATGGATTAATCCTTGTTTAAATGGATTGAGGAAAACATATGTAAAGTTTTCTGTTCTGAAGTAAGTGTAATACTGTTAATAGAAATAGCTGCCCATTCGCAAGCACTTAGTTCATGCTTGATACATGCAATATCTCATCATGATTATTTTTTTAAGGAAGGTATCCTTGTTCCCATTCTACAGATAAGTAAAATGAGGCTTAGATTTTTTCCAAGGCCATGTAACAAGAGAATGAACAAAGTAAAGATCTCCATTCATATAAATTGAACTGGTCTTAATGATCCCCTGAAATTCCTTAGACTTCTTCATTATAAAATGTCTAGTTGTAAGTTGCATTCAGTTATAAAAATATGGTAAGAATGATAATTACATTATTTTGCAATAATTTCTATGTTTCTTTTAAAATAAAGACATAATCCTCTGATTCTATTATTACCCATTTCATTATATATTACAGTGGTGATCTTTACTTAATTACGTTTACTGAATTATACTTGATTATAATTATATTTAATTCCATTGTAATGATTTAATTTTTGTGACATTTATTTTTATATAATGTTTAATTTGATAAACACATAGCTAAGCAGAGCTTCCAGGGAGTAGTATCAGCAGAGAGAATGTCCTTGCTTGTTCCACCAAATTAGATAATATGGATTTCAGGGTAATCCTATTATCTCAATCTCAGATCCCTGAATATATTTTAAAGTACATATGAATTTATGAAGCCATATGTTTTATAGCACATTCTCCAAAATATGAGAATTTAAAATGTCAGTATACTTTCTTCATTTTGAGAAAGAAGAAGAAGTAAGTCTCCACCAAGTGACAGAGAAAGCCCTCTAATAGCTCGAGTGGGTTCCATGACTACAGGGAATGGACTTGGGTCACTTCCTAGCACACTTGGTGCTGGCACTTGGAAGGAGCCTTTAAAAACACAGCTCTGGGACCCCAACACCATTACGTGATAGGTCAGGGCTTCCTCGTGCCTCCCTGTCTCCGCCCAGCTTTGCTGCTGAGTCAGGATGGGGCAGGACTTCACCTGGTGCTGAGACTGCTCAGAGTAATACTGTGTTTCCCCCAAAATAAGACCTAACTGGAAAATAAGCCCTAGCATGATTTTTCAGGCTGCTCGTAATATAAGCCCTATCCCAAACATAAGCCCCAGTGAAGATCGTCAACCAGACGTGACTGAATAAATGTAGATTTTTGTACATGAATAAATGAATAAATGTAGATTGTTGGAGCAAAAATTAACATAGGACCCAGGCTTATTTTCGGGGAAACACGGTAGTGCCCGTGTGTAGTGAGAGACATCAGGCCACTGCACAGAGCTCTACGTTTCTATCTTTACCCAGGCCGGACTCAGTCTTGAATTATATTTTTCAAGTCAACATTGAGTGGGAATTCCGATGCACTAAGGGTCTATTTGCAAGCACTATGGCTCTTTTATTCCTTTGTAGACCCTCAATTGATGCAAGAATTGTATGGCCATTACCTTCTCCCCATCTTTCTGCCTTTAATATTGGACTTTAAGATCTTTGGATTTTAAACCTGTTGCTAGGCAACCCCCATGCTATGATCACTCTCAATCCTCCCAGATTTCTACTTCCACCAATTCCCCTAATTGGGGTCAGCCTTCCACGTCCCTCCATCTGTCTTTCTACCACATCCACTTCCATGCCACAGCCATTTCTCAGCCTTTCACATACAGTATTTGGGGAACAATGTTTGACACCAAATGTGCCTACTTCTATACCAACTTTCCCCAGAGACACCTCTTCATTGTGGTTGATTGAGATTTCCATGTTCTTATGCTTAACGCTTTTTACTTTCACATTATTAATTAGATTATTAATAATTAAGCAAACATTTATAAAGTACTTCCCGTCTTGCAAACTGCCAAGTTTTGTCAAGGAGTTTACAGTGCAGCGGAGCAGATGGACAAGCAAAGGCACAGTTAGAACAGGACATGATAAGTGCCAGATAGATGAATGTATCAGGAGCTGTGTGAACATGTAAGAGAAAGACCTAGCCTAGCCTAAAGGATCAGAGAAGGCTCCCAGAGGCAGGAGATGAACAAGGGATTTGCCAATCCGTAAGCAAAAGATATGACAACATATCAAGTCTCAATGGTTATGTGATCATAAGGCATAGCCAAGGGTTTGAAAGAAGTCACTACTGCTGGAGAATAGAGTCAACAGGAGGTTAATATACTGGGGACGAAGCAGGCGGGAATTATAATACTAAGCGCTGTAGATGCCACCATAAGGAGTGAGGAGCTTAACTGAAAGGCAGTGGGGGGCCCTTGAAAGATTTTAATCCAAAACATGAGTGGCATGATCAGTGTGGCTGCAGCACTGAAAACACATTGGAGGGACCAGATGAGAGAGTCATTCAGGACAAAATGACTAGGTCCCGAACTAAGGCAATGACAATAAGAATGTAGAAGAGAGAGCATATTGAGAGACACTATAAATATGGAATTGAGTGGGGTTAGAGGTCAGTTGGGTGAGGGAAAGGGGAGCAGGGATGGGAGACAGCATGGGTGGCCCGAAGGTTTCTGGCTGTGTGAATCCTTTTATCCCACATTTATTAAGAACTTGCCATGTGATGGATGCTATGCTGGGTCCTGGGGATATAGTAGTAAATAAGTAAAATCCATGTCCTCATGGAGCTGAATTTTAGTGTTAAAACATAGTTAATAGACAAGATAGTATGTCATATGAGAAAAAGTATTAAGGAGAAAAATAAGGTAGTGAAGATGGATAGGGAGTCGGTAAAAAGGGGCGATGATAATACTATCATTGGCTTATCCATGGACCTCTGGATGGTGAGTAGAAAACCCGGTCAGTTTGAAATCTCTGAATTACGTCCACTGGAGATTCCCCGTAGGCTGCCGGAATGGGCGTCTGAATGTCAGAACAGGGATCTGGACTGAATCTAAAAATATGGGAACCATCAGCACACTGGTTGTAGTTTAAGTCATGAGGGCGGATGCCATTACTCAGAACATTATTCAGATTGAGAAGCTGCAGGGCCTACAGAGAGACCCTGGGGATCTGCAGCAATGCTAGCAGAGGTCTGGAAAGAGGCACACATAGACCAGGGGAGGAAGGGTGAGAGGGATATGAGGAGGAGGAGGAGAGCTTAATGTCCAAGAAATGAAGGGGCAAAAAGGTAAAGAGGGAAGATGGGGCCAACCATGTTAAATGCTGTGGCTGTAGAATACAGATTTTAAAAGACCTTTGGGTACACAACTGGGAGGCAACTGGAGGCCTGGAAGAGAGTGTTATTGTAGGGTTAAATAGTGAAGGGAGGGTGAACAGCACAAAGAAAGAGGGTGGTGAGGAAGTAAGGAAGTAAAGAAGTGACTGCAATTATTTGAGCTTATATTTAGGTATGGAAAGTTTAAAGGAGCAAGGAGTAGAAGAGGATGGAGAGGAGAGAGAGAGAGAGAGAGAGAGAGAGAGAGAGAGAGAGGGAGGAAGGGAGAGAGAGGTATTAAAATCCTAAGGTAAGTGGAGGGATTATATAGGGCAAGGTCCCTGAGGAGACCGAATAGAATGGGAGCCTGACAGATGTAGGAAGACAGTATACAGGGAATAAATAAAGGAGGATAGAGATACAAATGAATTTATTAAGGAAGGTAACAAACTGAAGGCGTTCTCATCTGATTTCTTCTACTTTCTTTCTAAAGGAGAACTCAAAGTCATGTGCTGAGACACATAGAGGGAGTGAGAAGAATGAAGGGTTTAGGGGCAATAGTCAAGTTTCAAAGAGCTGTTGTATATCTAATATATTAAAAAGCGAGAGGAGTGCTTGGCAGTGTTGAGAGTGGAGAACTTGCATTTGTAGTGGCATCAATCTCCATGAATGGTCTGAATTGAATACAAGCACAGAATTGGGATTCTGCAAGGCGAGTCTGAAGGAAAGAGCAGGAGTGAGGGAGTTAAAGGCATTCAGAGGAATTTGCAGTTCTGGGTAATGGCAGAATTCAGGATATGACAAGTGGTTGAATGAGAGCAGAAGTAAATGTTAACCGACTTTAGCAGATCTGGTATCTGTAAGGTTAAGTTATCGGACAGGTTAATTTCATTGACATTGTAAGTACCCAGTTTACCCAGTTCATTGCTTGGTTTATTTGCTGAGATTGCCAAAAAAAGTATGTTTATATAATACTTTGATCTTTTAGAAAAGCATAATATAAAAAGCTCCTTTGCCTTCTTGCAAAAACTGGCTAATACATTCTCTCACACAATTCCTCTCTTGCTCTTCAAACACATCTATGTCCTAAAGAAACATAACCAGTGAATGCCCACAGAGCTGTGCAAGTATAACATCCGCTTAGTCTTTTAAACATATCAGGATGAGGACTCTGCATCCTTCTACTGGGCCGAACAGTGAGTGCACAGTGATAAGAGCTAGTGCATTGTATGCTGATCTACATGATGGGTTTATAGTGGTGCTTCCATGGCATTCTTCTGCATCCACTGAGCACCATAACCATTTTGTTGGCCTTAAGGAAGACTGAGATTTCCAAAGAGAATATATAGTTTGGCAAATTAGAAAGTGACATACTCTGTAGCTCCCCTGATAGCCAATTCAGAATTTATTTGCTTAAAAATAAATGAGTAATGGAAGGAGAACTGATTCTGGGTGGTGAACACACAATGCAATATATAGGTTGATGTATTACATCAATGTCACCCCAATGCGTTTAGTACAGATGTTTTTTAAAAAGTAAATGAGGATAATTTCAGGGGAAAGGGATTAAGATTGGAAATACAGATTAAGAGACTTTTAAAAACAATCATGGCATCTGACTGCGTCCTCTTTGTCCAGACTGTAGACTGATTTAACTGTGTTTCCTGACAGCCTGTGGGGGCAATATCTACATCCACGATGCGGATGCTGCCGGATATGTGACCTCCCCCAACCACCCGGACAGCTATCCCCAGCACGCTGATTGCATCTGGCTCATAGCCGCTCCCCCCGGAAAGCTCATAAGGCTGCAGTTTGAAGATCAAGTCAGTATTGAAGTCACACCCAAGTAGGTCACCTTCTTTTAATTTTCCTTCTACCCAGAGTTAGTATTTTTTTGCTGTCATGTCTCAGAAAAATTTCCTGCTTCTCTTCTCAGCAACATATACTGCATAGGAAATCTAGGGATGGAGAAGGGAAATGCTTAATGCCTCCATCCTGAAAACATTGCCTGCCCCTCACAGTCCCATCAGCTGGGCAGATTATGTACACAGAGATTGTCCCTCGTGATCCTATGCACATCCTCCAAGAGACACTGAGAATGGCTGTTTGAGATTTATGTGATCTGTTCTTCCTCCCACAGGAAAAATATAGTGTCTCTGGTAGTGAGTATTTATTTGCCCAGTCCCATCCTCAGTGTCATAAATGATAAAATATCTGTTTAACAAATGGAAATTTGTGTTATGTGACATCAGCGGTCACCAGTGTCAGAAACAGGACTCAAGCAAGCACAGTACAATTCCTAATCTCTGTTTAATAAGAATTCTGAAAGATTACACTCCAGAAAGTAAGTTCTTACTATGTTGAACACAAAGAGAATAACTACGTAGGCTGAAAGAAAAAAATCTGTATTGTTTTCTTCATTTAACAAAAGTGTGTACACATTTGCATGAATATGTGTCTGGTATAAAACTTAGATATGAGAGATTTGCTTACTATTTCTGGGCACCTCATACAATTCTGCTCTCCTGCTCACTGAGCATTAATTGGCTGATTGACTTTCTCAAGATATATTGGGTAAATGCCTGCCTTTTATGGACACAGAAAATTCCACCGGGGAGACTCCATTAGCCCAGGTCACAGAGCTGTCATGTGAAATGTTGTTAGAGAACAGAAGGAGTTCTCCCACCTGGTGCTAGCAGAGCCAAACACTGCATACCGAGAATTGCAGTGGAGAAATACTGGCTATTGTATTATGAATGGTGCCATCCCAGGAGAACGAGAATGTGAGGCTAATGCTCAAAAGCCCAAACTCCCCAATGGGGTGTAGGTTACAGATTATATAGGGGGAAATCACAACACACTGGGGGTTGGTGGTTCAGGGTCATGCTGGGAGCTGATTGTTCAGAAGTGAGGTAAGGTCTTGAGGTCTGGAGGACAGTTCTGATGTCATTTCTGGAGTCTGTCTGTCTGTTCTCATGGGAAAGTAGCCAGGGGGGTCTTTCCACCTTAGGGCTCAGGAACTGAAATATAACTTAGGTCAAGATGTTACCTTTAGCCTGCCAGAGGTATGGACGGTGTGATCATCAGTCAGGTTCAGGCTCTGTCTTCTGCTGCCTCAGGGTTTGCTGGTAATAGGGGGAAAGGCTAGGTCTCTGAGGGATATATAGATGATAGATAGATAGATAGATAGATAGATAGATAGATAGATAGATAGATAGATATGATTTCTAGAGTGAAGATTTAAAACTCAATTTAATCAAAGTCATAAGGACCCTCAGTTTCAATGTGTTGAATCATCATGTGAAACACAAGACTTGGGTTTTTTATATTCCTAGGGGGTAATTTAAGAATGACTTTCAAATTGTAAAACTAATACAGAATGTGGAAGGCAAGTAAATATTTCCAATGTGGTGCACATAAAAACTCTTCTTGAGCTGCTAACTAAAGGGTATGTTATGATTAGGAAAAATATTATACAGTGTTCTGAAGTGACATGTTGCTTAAATTGACTGTTGTAGTGTCTTGCACTCCAGAAATGATGATTTAATCACATCCTTGGAGAAAGTTAATGAAGTCTTTTGTAAAAAAATATGTCAAAACAATTGTCTTTATACAGTAAACAGAGTTTTCTTCCACTTTAGTTGTACATCCAATTATCTTGAGTTGCGAGATGGAGCTGATTCAAATGCACCAATAATTTCCAAGTTTTGTGGGACAGCTTTGCCCAGAAGTCAGTTGTCCTCAGGAGAGGTGATGTATTTGAGATTCCGGTCTGACAACAGCTCCACTCATGTGGGATTCAAGGCTAAGTATTCTATAGGTAACAACACTTTTTATATTCAATAAGAAAGTAGTGATAGAATAAATACATTAAAAGTTTTTTTAAATTAAATTTTTTAAGAAGTCTTTCTATCTGCCTAATTTTAATAACTATTTTAACGATAAAAAAGGTAAAGAATATAAATATTTAAAACCAGTCATTCATCAACTTAAATTTTTACTTTGCTTTCCATTTTTAAAACTCTCTTTTTAGTAAACATTCATGTTTACTAAAAACTTGTTTGTGGAAAACATATTCAGTTAAATCAAATTCTCATTTCTTCCTCTTATCATAAAATATGTATAATATTAAGTAGTAACACTCCTTAGTAATGAATAAGTATATATTTAGAACAGTGATTTCACACTCCTCATTGTTAATAGATAATTGAGATATTTTCCCCCTAAGTCTGTAGTGCCAAATCATTCAGTAGACAAAAAATGAATGTCTCTTCAGTGTTTTGACTCCCCTACTTAAGAATGAGCAACAAATATGCATACTGAAGGTTCACTATAATATGGTCACCATTACATAGACTCGAAGGTGGGTCAGACATATTTAATATAGAGAAACCTCAGAAAGCCTAATTGTTAACACCATTTAACCTTCACCATAGGCTGTTTCACAGCCTGAGGCAAATTGTATGTAATTCAATCTATCAGATCCAGCTAATGAGAAATAATTGAATAGTAATTTTCGAGGCCCCTGAGATATCTATTACTGCAGTAAAACGTGTATTTGATCATTAAACTAGAAATGGCCGGCATCGCTAATGAAGCACAGCGCCCTTCCCAGCTGAGCTTCAACTCAGTTTTCAGAATCACCAACATGGGAAACCAGGCTGGCCCTGTCAATCTGTCAGCTGGTTCTTGAAATGAAACCTACTTGCAGCTACTAGCTCTTATATGGTTTCCCAAGAGAATCAAAGAAACATCACAGGACACGTCCTTCACGAGTTTCGTCTTCCGTTTCTCATTTATGGACTGAAAGTATGGTACCCTTTCTCTTCACTTCAATAGTAGATTTCTAATGTGAAGGGAAGCACTAACCAAACATTTTCAGAATTTAAAAAATTTCAATTCATAGTCGCTTGGCATAAAGTTTTTAAATACGCTAGTGAAATTAAAAAAAAACACTATAATAGATTATTGTGGGTTTTTTGTTTGTTTGTTTGTTTTCAGCCCAGTGTGGGGGAATAGTGACAGGGCAAAGTGGTGTCATCGAAAGCATCGGATATCCAACACTTCCGTATACAGATGATTTATTCTGTGAATGGCATCTCCAGGGTCCCTCAGGACACTATCTCACCATCCATTTTGAAAACTTTAACCTTCAGAATTCCTCTGGCTGTGAAAAAGACTTTGTGGAGATCTTGGAAAGCCATGCCTCTGGTCAGTGAAATACGTCTGCTGTCTTTTGTGGGGGGTTTATTTTCACATGTACTCATTCAGCCTCTGAAGTTTCCTCACTTCCAAGATAGAGAAAACTGTGTCTACCCTTTGCAAAGAAGCACAGAGCCGTCAGCTCTGGGCAGTGCCAGCTTTGCTCTCTCTTGGTTCACCCATAAACAATGAGCGTCCAAAGGGAGACCACACTGAGACAGCCTGTCCTGGGAAGGCATCCTCTCTTCCTGCTGAGACCTTCCAGTGCCATATACAATTATTTGAGGGGCATCCTGTAGTGTAAGGAGAGGAAACGGTAATATGGCCTGTAAATAGTATCAGATGGACACTTGTCACTCTACTTCCTCAGACCATTTCTTTAACCAAATAAGCTCAATTTTCTCATTGTTTTGAGATGCCCTCACCCTAATTGGTTGCCATTTTTGTTACACTTCTTCATATATTTGAATATATTGATTTTTAATTCATGTTTGTCCTGCTTCTCTTGACAGAGTGTATCATTTCTTTATGGACAGGGTCTTGTCTTTTATACGTGTAGAACGCCTCAAGTAGAAGTTAAATTTTCATCATTGTTTGACTCTCACAGGAAATGTACTGGGCAGATACTGTGGAAACACCCTTCCTGACAGCATAGACACTTCTAGCAATGTAGCTTTGGTCAGGTTTGTGACAGATGGCTCTCTTACTGCCTCAGGATTCAGACTACGGTTTGATTCCAGTTTGGAAGGTAAGTTCATTGAGTCACTAAAAAAAATGTATATACAGAGGATGCCAAAAAAATGTATACACATTTTAAGCAAGGAAAAAACTATTAAAATTTTAATACTCAATATATACTGATAACAAAAGATGAATACAAGTCACGTTTGACTTCTGCAATTACAAGAGGTGCTCGAAGTGGTTACCATCAGCGTCCAGACACTTCTGATTATGGCGAACTACTGTTTGAGTAACGTTGACCAAAGTGTCCACTTGTATCACTGCACATGCCGTTTCAATTTCTTCACACAGTATCATGCATCTCAAACTTATCATGAATATGTGCAGTTGTTAGGCGCTTTGGAGGTTCTCTTGCATACTCACGCCTCCATTGTTGTTGTACTTCCACAACGTTGTCAAATTTCAAATATCACTTCAGAATGCTCTTGCGTTCCTTGAACAACAACCCTGCTTCCGCCATTTTCTTTGACTGTCTTGCCTGTCGCATGGTGACGCTAGCATTCATTTGATTAATGCCATCTTTTGAGCAAACGTCAGACTACATGTTGCTACCATAATTCAATTCAACTTCAAAAAGTAATACATAAATAACATCTCTTAAAATGTGTATACTTTTTGTGGCACCTCCAGTATTATTGGGCACCTACACTGGAGAAACATCATGCTAAACACAGGTGTTATAATAGCTGGAAAAAAAATACATGACCCCTGCCTTCTTGGACCTTACAGTTTAAGGGAAAGCAGACATTAATCAAATAGTCACACCAATAAGTGAAAAATCAAAGCTGTGATCAATGCTACAAGGGAAGGGAACTAGTGCTGTGAGAGATGGAAGGGGATGGGAGTTGTGCTGCATTACTCATCTGAAGAAACCCGGTCCATTAGTCCTACACTTACTCAAGATTTGCATTCCAAATTCCCTGACAAACTCAAGTGAAATAAAGATCTTGTCTGAAAAAAAATTGGATGCTTACTTTAGCCTTCTGGTTTTCCTGATTCTAAGAGTACCACAGGTATCGGTCTCTCACGTTTCTTGGGCCATGATGATAAAACGCTGCCATGTGAATGCTCACCCATGGAAACAAAGATTAAATATTAAAGATCAGAAGTAAATACAAATGTTCTGTATAGATCCTTACTTACATATAGTGATAAATAAGAGCAATAGTTTTTGTCTGGTGGGATAATAAAATAGTTTGATTTTGAGTACATTCCTTATAGCAAGTGTTGGTTGGTTTGACTGGACATTTTCTTGTTGTTTTTTTTATTCCCCTTCAGAGTGTGGTGGGGATCTCCAGGGCCCCATGGGAACCTTTATGTCTCCCAACTACCCAAACCCAAATCCTCATGGTCGGGTCTGCATGTGGAGAATCACCGTACCGGAAGGAAGACGGGTCACCCTAACTTTTAACAACCTGAGGCTGGAAGCTCATCCATCCTGCACCAGCGAGCATGTGACAGTAAGTGTCCCGTGCAGTCAGGGATGTGATATTCTATTGTTTAAGAAGTTTATTGGCTCATAAATCATAGTCAGAAAATTGGGCCAGGAGTATTCTCATCGTGCACCTGTATCTCAGACAAATTCTAGAGTTTTAGATAGAACAAAATCACTGTAAACTGCCATACCTGTAAAAGCTGTTTTAAGAAACTAGTAGTTGCCAGCACATACATCAGGGTCATAGGTAGGATAGGTTTTAAGAGCAAATGATTACTACACATGACCAAACTGGGTACACAGAGAAAAGCTAAGCCTGTGGGTAGCACACAGCTGAATGGGATCAGTCACAGAACAAGCCACCATCAAAAGTTGTAAGCAGACGAGTGTTCCTGCATGACGGATGACTGTTTTCCGCCAGAAGTACTGAAGGCTCCCCTGGAAGATCATGGCTGCCCGCTTCCTGTTGCCCAGCTCACATGCTTTCAGATATGCCCTCAGTATTCTTAGCTTCCCTTAGCAAAAGGACACAAATGAGGTCTATGAGTGTGAAAAGCAGCACTGTGAAATGGCAGATCTATATGCATACCTACTGCTGTGACTGCAGATTAATATTAGTATATTTCCCCACCTAACCTGCCCTTTCCTCTGTTTTTCTTATCTCAGTAAATAATAATTCCAAACTTCTGGTTCCATGGGTTGAAAATCTTGATGTCTGCTTTGGAGTCCTTTCTCTCACATCTTATGTTACATCCATGGGCAAGTCCCACTGGCTGTATCTTTAAAAAAGATCCAGAATCTAACTACTTATCGTTTCCACTATTAACGACCACCATCCCCATGCACTTAGATTTATTTCAATAACTTCCAACTGCTCTTCCTACTTTCACCCTTGTCTCCCTGTATTCTCACCACAGCAGCCTTGTGATGGGTGTAAACATAAATCGGATCATGTTTCTCACTCAGTGAAAGTCCTAAATCTTTACAATGGCCCATCGGCCACCCTTTCCTTTTCCTACCCTGGCATCGTATCTCAAACTCCCCTCCTCTTTTGCTCCCTGGAATCCAGCCACACTGGCCTCTTTCAGGGTCCTTGAATGCGCTAAGATGCTCCCACAACCCACTGCACGTGCACTGTTGCCCGTCTAGATGGCTGTCAGGCTCACCCTCTCACTTCACGCAGGTCTCTGCTCAAATGATTGATCCATACGCCTCCCCTAAGTACCCACATTAAGCAGACCCCACCGCGTCCTCTTCCTTTCCCCTCATGATTGTTTTCACAGCACTCCGCACCAGCTGACATTCCACATATGTATTTATTTGCCTGTTTACTGTCTGCTCCCCCCATGTTAGGACATGCACTTAGTTTTGTTCGCTGTTGAATCCCCAGTGCCTGGCACATAAGAGAGACAACAGTTGTTGAATGAGTGAATGGTGGAAGTACCATCATTATCCTTTTAAAAACGAGCCCGTTCTGTTTTCCATTTAATTGTCTCCTGTTGGGTAGTAAGTTTCAAAAATAGAAAACATCTTGTATGTTACTACCATTTTGCATTGCCCTTAAATGATCATAGTGAAGCTTCAAAGTTTGCCAAGTTCTAATATTTGAAGAACTGAATTTTTTTTAATCAGATATTGGAAATTATGGAACACAATGTGTTTTCTTTTATTTGAAAGCCAGGAAATGTTGGACTACACTTGCTTACTTTAAAGGAAGATTTTTCCTGTTATTGAATGAATACATAGAGAAAAGAATGATGTAGGGAAAAATTAACTACTCCCACTATGCCACATTTTGAAGTATTTTCTTTTCTTGGCAATGAACAATATTATATACTTGTAACCATGTGGCCTAAATTCATTTGTATACCAATTTTAATTTATTTTCCTGATTATAAATATAATGGATGCTTATTGACTGAAATTAGAAGAGTTCAGGAAATAAAAAAATATGAAAGTACTTGGAATTCTATGTACATTGTTAATATTTTGATGTATATGCTAATAGTTTTTAAAATTGTATCCATAGTTAATATCATATTGAATGTAATGATTATTAAGACTCTTACCAGCAGAATATTCACATACCCTACAGGAAAGATAAGAAGGGTCATAGTTCTAGAACTCAAATAATTGAAATAAAATTTACAGTAATAACCACAAATTCTGAACCACATCTTCTCATTTCCCCATCTCTGAATCACAGATGCCAGAAGCATCCGCTTTCAACTCTTGTTTTTTAGCTCTTGCTTGTGGAATTTCTGTCATTATTTCAAAATAGTGTTCCTGTTCTGCTACTTGTTTATTTTTCAGTTGTAGACATAATCTATTTACATCCAGCTATGGCAGATGAGGATTTAGCTCTCCACAAACCAGCCCCACCCACCACCACAAATGCACACAGGGATATATACATACTTCACGTACTCCCCCAACTTGCTCCCAAAATACTGTCAAAGGGATTGTTTATGTGTTATGGTTATGTAGACGCCATTCCTAACTCAGCCAGGTAATGTACTGTGGTAGCTTTTGCTTTTGTTTATCCAAGTAATAATAATGTTCTTTTTACATTTTCTTGGCTTTCTATGCATCACTAGTCCTTCCATACACTTTCCACTCCAGGTGTACCTCCCTACCTTATACAATAAAGCATGTCTATCATTTTCATTCATTTTCCTTAGCAATATCCTTCCTTGAGTCTCTGTCCATCAGCTGCAAGCCTGATGCCAGCTCTCATGTTGGGGTTTCTCGTCACCATCAAATTTCTAAGTCTGTTCCTTGCTCCTCTGGGCTGGTTTTATGATATGAGCATTTCCCTTGGTTAATTTCCTCTTTTTGTTGAGACATATGTTCTAGTAGCTTCCTAAAGAAGTGGACATGGGTGATAATGTTTTTGAGAACATGTATACCTAGAATTGTCCTTATTTTACTCCTATTCTTTGAATATATTATATATTTTTAAATATCATATATATTTACATACATATATGAATATCTTAATTATAGTTTTAAAGTATGTTACTTCTTTTGGCATCAATTTCCTTCAAGTTCCTGTTTCCTATTTACATGTATTGATCTCTGCCTTTGATGTTAGAGGTTTCTCTAAATGTCTGATGACCTTTGGCTGTTCATTTATATTTAAGAATGAAGTACCCAATGGAGATCGGATGCTCTGTGTGCATGGCAGGAGCTGTAGACTTTTGGGCATCATGGGGGGTGACAGACAGGGGGACTTGGCCATTTGATTAGTGGAAACTAAAAATGTCAATCTACAGGTCTTTTCTCCTGGGGAGGTTAAAACTCCAACAAAGAAACAGTTTCAGAATGAATTTCTTTTTTGAATCTTTAATATGATATTCACATTTCCTTTTCTTTGAAATACAGTTTTTATAGGTTTAATGTTTGTTTTGTTTCTTCTTCACTCTGCTTCAAACAAAGGGATGAGGCTTGCCCTCTGCTGTCCTTTATTTACTTGAGAACGTGTGTGTGCGCGTGTGTGTGTGTGTGTGTGTGTGTG